GGGGGGGGTCTGGGGGTGCCCAGGCACTGATCTCCCCCCTCCATGCCCCCACTCGCAGTGTATGGACTTCATCCACCAGCATCAGACTCGCCTGCCCCTGCTGCAGGGGAGGCACCAGGATGCCCTCGCCGCCTGCCAGGTAAGGGAGGTGCCCAAGGGGGTGGGTTAGATCCAGCCCTGCAGCTTGGCACAGGCCCTAGCCGGAGGCTGGAAGCCCTGCCCCAGCACTAGGGGGTAGGGGCAGGCACTGCCCAGGCCTGGACAGACTAACAGGAACCTGTGCCTGCAGGATCTGGGGTTGTGTGAGGCCAAGAGAGCCTCAGGCCCCAAGCACTGCAGCCTGGGCCCCATCTACTGGTGCTCCAGCATGGAGGCAGCTAAGGAGTGTGGCGTGAGTATTGCCCTGGAGGGCACTGACTGGGACCCTCAGGGTACACGGGTCCCTGCCTGACCCTCAGGGCCCTGAACCATGTGGGTGGTAGTGACTGTCACCTCCATCCCAGTTGGGGGCCTCCCAGTAGCCCAGGGCACCACAGTGACACCCAGAATTCTCTTCCAGGCTTTGAAGCACTGCCAGGACCACGTGTGGGGGTAGCAGTACCCCCCCTTGCAACAAGATGCCCCCACAGCCCCTGACCTTTGCACTCCCCAGGAATCCAAGCTGCCCCCACCCCCAAGTAGTCAGACCCAGCTCCCTGCTCCCTCTGGAAACAGCTGTTATAATAAACCCCCCTGCTTTGCTAGGTGACTTAGAAGTGTTGTGTTTCAGCTGGGGGCGGGGGGACCTAAAGCCCCTGCTGGAACTCAGAGGCTCCCTTCTCCCCTCGCCAAGGAGATCTCAGCCAGCTGCCCCCCAGTACAAAAGAACAGGGGTAATGGGTTTGTTGCCCAGGGGGGTGGGGGGGGTGTAACAAAGCTTTAACTGCCCCCCCACCCCAGCTGGGCCAGGAGAGGGAGGGGAGTTACTGATACTCTTGGTCCAGCATGACCAGTCTGGCATTGGGAGGGGGTGGGCAGCCCTGTGGATGTCTCCCAGCCAAGGCCAGCTGTGAGGGGCACCATAGGGGCAGGAAGGAGACTGAAGAGATGCAATTAAAAAAAAACCCTTTAAAGTCCTTGGTGCAGGCAGAAGAGTCCCTGGGCAGAGCCTGGCCCTTCTGAGGGGGCCAGTGTCTGGCTGGCAATGAGGGGTGCAGCAGGGGAGAGGGAGGTACCCTCCAGTACCCGGCTGGAGAGGTCAGTGGTCCACGCCAGTGCTGTATGTTGCTCACGCACCCTGCTGGATGGTCTCCTCATCCTCTCGCCTCTTCCAGATCTGGGGGAGGGTAGAGAAAGCCAGGAAGTGAGGTTCTGCTTCCGTGCCTCGGTTTCCCCAGTTAGCCTCCCACTGCCCAAGATGGGGATGGGGGAGGGTTATAAAGGGAACCATTCACTGTCCTGTCCCAGCTGGCCTGGAAGCAGATTCCCCACCTGCAACCTGGATTGTGGCAATCTGGGGGTGGGGGGACCACCACAGACGCACTCATTGCCCCACGTCCAGGCCCAATTCACAGCCACGGTCCCACAGCCTTTCACAAGGGGCCAGGAGCAGCAGCATATACCCCACTCACCTGGATGTAGGCTTCAGAGAGTGTGATCATCTGGGGCAGGATGTCAGTCACCTGGAGGTCCTGCAGCTCGTACCACTTGCCTGTGCCCTGCCAAGGTGACACTGAGGGGTGAGGGGGTGGGTTGGGCATGGCAGATATGAGATCCAGGTTGGGGGTTGCAAAGGAGACACCAGACCTGGGCAGTGAGGGGGGCACAGGCGACCTCAGACTGGACAAGGAAGCACCAGAGACCCTCAGGCCTGTGCAGAGGGTGGGTATGAGAGCTCCCCAGGCCCAGGCAATTGGGGGCATGGGAGATCCCAGATCCAGGCAGTGGGGGGTGGGGTGGGACAGGAGACCCCAGATCTAGGCAGGGAAGGGGCACAGAAGACCCAAGACCTGGGCAATGGGGGGCACAGAGGACAGTCACTCACGTGATGCAGCACATGGATGCGGTAGGAGCCCTCGCTGGGCTTTCCATCATGGACAATGTTGGCGATGAGGTCGTACGTTGTGTGTATGTGTGTGGCCTGGACCTCTTCTGAAAGGTACTCGCGGAGGTCCACGTTCCTGGTGGGGGGCGGGCAGGGGAGCATCAGTGGATCCATACCACCCCCTCCCCCTACCATCCCATGCCTGCCCAGGGCACTGCCATGAAGCCAGCCTAGGCCCAGGGTGAAGCTCCCAGCAGCTGAGGAAGAATGGGACCTGCTTAATGCACAGAGAAACTAAGGCAAGCTCAACCAGTCATACAGCAGTGAACCCGGGGAAGGGTACTATTGGATACCCAACCCCACACCACCCTCCTGTAGCAGACAGGGCTGGTACAGATGGTGGAGAGAGGCTTGTGGAGTCTCTGCTGCTCTGGAATATTAGCTGGGGGGCATCATTGCAAGCATATTCAGCCCCTGGAACTCAGGTACTGAACAGGGGGGCATAGGAGACCCCAGGCAGGAGGGTACAAGCAATTCCACACCCATGCAGTGGTAGGGGGGGCACAGGAGACCCCAGCCCCAAGGGTGTGCCTCAAGGCCTGGTGCCATCCAGTCCTTCACCTCTGCCCCCCCGACCCTAGCAGGGACCCACGTGATGGGGAAGTTGACAATGGTGGGGTTCTTCTCCACAAAGAAGTTGTTCTTGGTGAAGCGCTTGATGCAGAAGATGAGGTAGGGTGGCAGTCGGGTCAGCTGGAACCGCTTCAGGAAGTTCTCCTTGTATGTCTTGTACTCCTGGAACATGCACAAGCAGGCACGTGTGAACCTCAGCAATGGGGCCGAGAGCAGAGGCCAGAGACCTGGTATCTTTCTGGGGTAGCAGCTGAGCCTGGCAACAGCTCCCTGGGACCCTCTGTTAACAGCCTTCCCTGCCCTTGGCTCCCTGCCCCATCAGTTTCTCTTCTCTCTACTCCCTGCCCTGTATTCCCTGCCTCATCCATTACTCTGATCTCTGCCAGGGGCAGGGTACCTATGCCACAGGTTAGCCATCCCTTGCTTTAACCAATCCACCTCCCTACCCCCACACCCCTGAACAGCTCTAAGATACCTGATGATCCCCTCCCCCTCTTGCCTAGAGCTCCTGGCTGCCCAGTGGAACAAGCCAGGAAGGGTGCCCCCAGTGGCTGGAAGCTGGTAGTGCTGGCCATACCTTCTCGGTGATGCCATTGAACTTGGCCAGGATGTTGAAGAGGGGCACCTGGGGGATAATGAGCTGCTCCTTCTCGTCTTTGTAGAGTGGGGCTGTGGGCAGGTCCAGTGTCAGGTACATGAAGGTCGACTCCACCATGGTCTCCTGGTACTCAGTATTCAGCAGCAGCTGCTCTTTCTCCTCTGCTGGCTGGAGCAAAGTAGGCCGGGGAGGTGGAGCTCAGTCCTGCTTACAGCAGCTTTTCCACCCCCGACAAGATATGCTAAAGCCAGGACTAAGGCTGCTAAATTCCACAGGGGATAGCACAGAGAAATGGGGCTGGAAGGGATCTGCAGTGCTCACATCTAACCCAACCCCTGCCTGAGACAGAATCAGCCTTGTCCAAACCATCCCAGACACATCCATTATCCAACCTCTTAATAAAGCTACTGTCAACCCTGACAATACAAGACCTCACACCCAAAGCTACCACAGGAAAAGCAGAGGGACCACAGCAGCCAATGTCCTGCTGCTGTAAAATGTCAACAGACACTCAAGACATCCAAGAGATCCCAGGATTCTGCTACAGAGGAAGGCAACCTGCCTTGCCCCCAGTCTGTACCAATCTGACCAGGGGGAAAATTCCTTCCTGACTCCCAGTGTGGCACTGGTCTGAGCCTTAACGGAAGGAAGGGCAAGACTCTTTAGCCAGGACCTTCCAGAGTCGATCCCAGCAGGAGCGTTGGCACAGCCCAGGCACTGTCCCCAGCCTGGGCCTCAGAGCGAGGCTTAGAAAAACAAGACATGCTTAGCAGCAAGCGGAGGGGAACAGGGGTTAATTCCCTCCTGGCCCTGTGCAGCAGCCAGCAAAGCCTGGGAAATCCCCATAGCAGAGCACAGGTATCACTGCACCTAGATCATCTCTGAACAGTAGTTGTCCAACCTCTTGTTGAACCCATCCAGTGATGGAGTCCACAAATCCCCTGGGCATCTAATTCCACTGCCTCACTGCTCTAGAAGCAGGCTGGAGAGAGGGGCATTTGGAGGCTAATCCGCCCCTCAAGGACTCCCCTAGCCCAATCCACTGCAGTGCTGGGCCCTCGGCACTTACAGAAGAGGCATAGGGTGGGAGCTAATGTATCTTCACACATACAACGCACACCTTTATGTGTCATCCCCCTGTCCTTCCTCCACCTCCTCTGCCCCAAATCTAGCAGCTTGTAGTCAGACCATGGCCTCCACTCTGCATTTGGTCTCACAGGCCTATAAATGCCTTACTGACATGGGAGAAATGCCATCGGAGCAGGGTGTGTCAGTTTAAAATCTAGTGAGGAGCCAACAGGCAGCTGCTACTCAATCACTACAAAGAACCATCTTCCCCTGCTCCCAACAACCTGAAGATGGAATGGAGTACACCCTCAGAAAATCTGTGGATGTCACCAAGCTGAGGGGAGGAGTGGATATGCTAGAGGGTAGAGCTAGGATTCAGAGAGACCTCAACACATTGGATTAGGCTGAAAGAATTCTCACAAAGTTCAACAAGGACAAGTGCAAAGTCCTGCACTTACGACAATACAACCCTGTGCTGGGATTGTACAGGCCGGGGAATGACTAGCTAAGCACCAGCTCTGCATGAAAGGACCTGGGGGTCACAGTGGACAATAAGCTGGATGAGCCAAGTGTGCCCATGTTGCCAAGATGGCTAACAGCATATTGGGCTGTATTAGAAGGAACATTGCCAGCAAATCAAGAGGAAGCAATTATCCCCTCTATTTGGCATGGATGAGGCCATACCTGGAGTCCAGTTTTGGGCCCCCACTACAGAAACTATGTGGACACATTGGTGAGAGTCCAGTAGAGGGCAACAAAAATGGTGAAAGGGACATGACTTATGAGGAGAGGTTGAGGGAACTGGGCTTACTTAGTCTGGAGAAAAGAAGAAAAGAGGAGGGATGAAACAGCAGCCTTCAATTACCTGAAGGGTAGAACTAGACTGTTCTCAGTGATGGCAAGTAATACGGAGCAATGGGTTCAAGCTGCAGCAAGGGAAGTCAAGGTTAGATATTAAGAGAAATTCTCTCACTAGGAGGGTAGTAAAGTACTGGAACAGGTTACCTAAAGAGGTGGTAGAATCTTCATCCTTGGAGATTTTTAAGATTTCGTCCAAGCTTGACGAAGCCCTGGCTGGGATGATCTAGTTGGGGCTGCACCTGCTTTGAGCAGGAGGTTGGACTAGATGACCTCCTGAGGTCCCTTCCAACCTTTATTTTCTATGAATCTATATTCTTCCACTCCAAAGCAAGATGTGTATTATATTCTGGGGTGTGTTGTATGTATGTGAGGAAATATGGTATTTTTGCAGCCCAAAGAATCCTTAGGTCAGAGGTGCCCCACACAAGCATAGACCCCCAGCCCAAATTAGCTGTGGGACTGGGCTTGGCCCCTTACAGAATGCACCAGGGGCACAAAGCTGGTACTAGAAACTATAAATTCCACTATGAAGCAAGAAGATGCTGCTTTAAATCATCACTTCCCTCTATCATGGACAGGACCAGCCTTAGCGGATGGGTCTGCATGGAGCCCAGGATAGCAGGGCCTTGATCTCGGCCAGGAGCTCTCAGCGCTGCTAGTAATCGCAAGTGCCAAGCACCAGTAAGGAAAGCACGGGATCCCAGCATGTTTAACTAGATGCCAGTCTGGGGCTGGCCAAGGGCTGAGGGGCTGAGTCGAGCCGCAGCGTTAACAGGCACATCCACTGAAGCCTGAGGGAAGGCATGTGGAGCATCCCATGACTGCGACGGGCTAGGCACTCACCAGGTCAGGGTGCGGCAGCTTCTTGGTGAAGATGCGCATGGAGCCCTGGAAGACATCAGTCACGATGGCTGCGGAGACACCGAGTGGGGGACCCATGAGTGGGCACCAAGAAGCTCAGAGCGAGGGCAGCCAGGAGAATATAGTGGGGGGTAGCATAGATAAATGGTGCCCAACCTATTCATCCCACAGACTGGATCTGGGTCCATGGGCCTGCGTAAGAACCCAGCTGGATGGAACCAGCCTGGCCAGGGCCAACCTTGCTGTGTAGGGTTTGGAAATGTGTTACTGTGGGGGGAGAGGGGAGAACAATGGTGGAGTTTATTACTGCCACTCCCAAATTTCTGCACCCACAGGGAGACCCATGGGCCAGATTCAGACAGGGATTAAGTAGCCCTGGCATAAACAATAGTAAGTGGCTTGAAGCGAGGATGGTACAGAATTATCTAGAGGAGGGGTATCTAGGTAACTGTGCTGCCAGATAACCTGAAACAATGCAGCCAGTATTTGAGAAAGGAAACACCCAATCCTGTGCTCCTGAGCATGGTGGAAGCTGCCAGGGATACCCCAAAGCAGCAGACATGCCACCCCAGCACCTACATCATCCAGCCACTGGCTTGGATCTCCCAGTTTCCCCCCCTGTAACAAGGAACCCTCCACCCTACCCATTACTAGAAGGCTGGGGTGACAGCCCAGGCAGCACTGATGGCAGAAAGGCTGAGGACAAAGTGGCACCTGTTTATATTAAGCAATAGGCTGCACAATGCAAGGCAGTGGATAAGAGCACCTGAGCACTGAGGGAGGTGGAGCAGAAAGCTGGGGCAGGGCTTGGGGGTATATAAGCCCAGCCTCTGGATTTGGGGAGTGGGGTGGCTGTGGCTGCCCCAGGGCAAGGAGCTCTGAGCCAGACTGCAGGTGAGATACCTGGTTGACTGCCCAGGTGAGGTACCTGGCAGGCTGGGGGAAAACAAGCCTGCCTATGTAGGAGGACTAAAAGATAGAGACCCCACAGGGTCTGCCAGTCACTGGGAAAAACACCTCTGAGCCTGCTACACCCACTCACTCTTTTTCTTCCTCTTCGTCCCGCCTAGAGCAGCATGAAGGGCATTGAGGAACCAGGAGAGGAAATCCACGCCATCGCCTGGGAGTGGAAAAGGAAGAGAAGGGTGAGGAATTCCCTTTTCTAAGCCAGTGGGAGTTTGTACAGCCCCTGGCACAACACAGCCCCAAGCCAGGGGGTCCCAAGGCATTGCTGACCTAGCCCTGTCAGAGCTGGGAGCTCTGGGCTTTGCCAGGGCCCAGACTGGGGTGTCCCCTGCTCGAACTGCTGAGCCAGGGGCCACCTGAAAGCTTGGTGCGTTGCCTTCCACACCATCCCTGGCTAAACCCAGCCCTGATAAGTGGCACAAACCTCCAGCCACAGCTAATGCAGCAGATAAACCTGCCACATGTTCAAATGAAAGCTGGATAAAAACTAGCTATCAAGTTCTTACACCTTTTCAAGCACTGACTTTATAGCGATGTGGCGTTTTGTAGCTGGACAGCCATTTTTATGGTGTGATAATTACTTTGCATGTATGGCCAGTCTAAATACATCATGTGTATGTACAACCAGTTAATTGGTAGTACTTCCTCTGCACGTATGGCTGGTTTTACTCTGCACGTGTGGCCAGTCTAAATTTATTGCATGCTTCACCAGTGAGCTGTGTATTATATGTAACGTGTGGTGGGGGCCAAAGTGACCCAGCAAAACCCTCAATTATATAATATACAAAACTAAACGCAAATCTCACTTACAAGGTAACTAGTGCATTTCTTGGTGTAAAAGCATTTACTGTCTGCTAAATAAACCAACATGAATTTAAAAAAAACCCTTGTAGTCTCTCAAGCCCCTGCTACATATATTGCACAATTTGGTAGTGAACCACGCAGTGAACTTAGGCCGGTCATATATGCAAAGTAATTATCATGCCATTAAAATGGCCATCTAGCTATAAAAAGAGCCAAGCAATTACAGTTAGTGCTTGAAAATGTGTACCAATTTTACAGCTGGCTTGCATCCAACTTTAATTTGGAAGCATAGCAGGACCCTGAAGTATTCCCCCTCCTCAACAACCCACTGATTTCCCAATCCAAGGGTCTAGGGTAACGCTGACTTCTCTCCCACACAACCTGCCCTCTTCTAGCCACAGCCATGCCCCATCCACCCCTGCCCAACCCCATCTGGCGCAGCTCCCCCCAACCTTGCTTGGTGATCTGGAAATTCTTCTTGCTGCAGAGCACCACGGCTTGCAGCATCTCATGGGGGGACACATGGGCCTTGAAGTTACGGGGGTTCCATAGTTTCCGCATCAGCTCCCCGAAGCGCTGAACCAACAGGAACATGATGTCTCCTGGTGGGCGCTGGATGCTTTTGTAGTTGTCTTCTTCCAGGAAGTAGTTACGGAGGGGTGGAACATTGGACAGAGCCTGGGCACGGGGGTGGGTGGGATGCAGAGTGAGCAGCCAAGTGGCCAGGCACCCTGAGGCTAATTCAAGGAAGCTCTCCAACTCAGACCACCCCACCCTCTATCTCTGTTCCAGGCTTAGAGACTACATGAGCCTACATGAAAACAAAGCAGTTCTTTTTCACCCAACATGTGATTCAAGGGTAGGACTCATTGCTACCAGATGTGGGGGAAGCTGAGAGTTCAGCCAGATTCACAGGGACTGGACATGTTCTTGGAAGAAGGGGGAATCAGTAGCTATTGAGCACAGGACTGAGAGGCACAGCCTCTGAATCAGAACATCCTAGACTTTAAAGGCTGGAGGCTACAAGTGAGAGAAGAATAGGGGCAAAATACCCAGTTCCCCCTCTGTTCCAGCCTCTGCTCTCTGCTGCCATGTGAAACAGAAGACTGGACAAGACAGACCTAGGATTTGACCCAGTCCCTGGCAGTTCTGATGGTCAATTCTAATCACGTTTGCTTCAACATCGAAGGATTCATGAGAACACGAGCTGTCAAAGGAAATCCTCAGCTCCCCTCTGCCACCTGCCAAATCTATCCTAAGGGATCAACACACCCCACAGGCTCCCAGCTTCAGGGGCCCCTACCTGGAGCACAGCATTGGCATAGTCATTGGCCTTGATGTTATTCAATCCCACAATGCCTGGCAGATAGGTGGTACCGTCATATGCCCGCGAGAGCTTGGCCTGCTTGTCCAAGTTGGCAATCTGTTGTTTGGTGAACGTGGGCTTCAGCACATACTGCAGAGAGAGGCAAGGTGCAGGGTTCAGGGGACTCAAGAGTTACGGATGTCAGCATCACACCATATGGGAGACCCCCGAGCAGTAAAAGACCTTTGCTGGGCTAGGTTGGTTGTGTGGTAAGCAATGATCTAACCCACAACGGTGACCAACAGCCAGCAGGAGATAAATCATAAAGAAGTGTGGCTGGAAGGGACCTGCAAAGGTCACATCTAGTCTAACCCCCTGCCTGAGGCAAGATCAGCCCTGTCCAAACCATCCCAGACCCATCCATCATCTAAACTCTCCATAAGACAATGCTGGCACAACACCAGACATCACCTTTGAGCCTTCCAGAGAAAGCAGGGGAGCTGTGGTGGCCAGCATCCTGCTGCTGTAAAGAGTTGTTAATAGATGCTCCAGAAATCCCCGAGGGAGTCCGTGCCTCCACTACAGAGGAAGGTAACCCTTCCCCCCCACTCCATACCAATCTGACTGGGGGAGAAATTACTTCTAGACCCCAAATGCAACTTTGGTCTGAGCGTGAATGAAAAGGCAAGATCCTCTAGCCAGGATGCTCTGGTTCAAGTCCCAGCAGGAGCACTGGTACAGCCCAGTCGCCATCCCCATCCTGGGCTGCAGCCAACAACCAGTGTCTCTAGAGAAGGCTTAACCACTCCCCCCGCCACCTGTATCATGCCTCTTAGGTGCCTTTTCCCCCAAGCCCAGCTCCTTCATCCTCTCCTTGCAGGACTTGCTTTCCAAGCCCTCCATATTTGTCACCAGTTCTGGACCCTCTCTCAGATTTCCACATTGTGTTTAAAAAGTGGAAGCCATAATGGCATGCAATCTAGAGTAGAGGCATGATCACCTCCTGCATCTTGCCCCAACGCACCTATTGATGCCTCCCAAAACCACATCCACCTTGTGTGCAGCTGCTTCACACTGCAGACTCTCAGTTGGGATCCAACCCTAGGTATAGGCAGAGATTTGCTATGGGCAAAATGAGCCCGTTCCAGCCCCTAGGCCTGGCTGGACCACTGATTGCTACATACACTGCTTGTGCAAAGCCTTTGCTAAAGCACTGGCTTGATCAGTGCCCCTGACCAATACCTGAGGTCCTGATAAAAGCAACAGTAGGCACTTGAGCCAGGCTCCTGTCATGGGATGGCTGGATAAGGGGTGGAATAGTTCAGTCCCAGAAGGCTCAGGCTGGGATGGGAACCCATCCAGAAAAGCCTGGAGGTCCATGATCCCTCCAGATATTCGAGAGACCGGTGGAAGGTGACACACCATGTGCATGGATGGCTGTAGAAAAGGAACCAGGGAAAGGATGGGAACTGGCTCAGCCTAGAGGAGTCCGAATGGGGTTGTGCTATGACATGGACAAACATATGTGCATGCCTTGGCTGTCAGATCATGTGTGTGTTAGGGCTGTGCCTTGTGACCGAAAACCTGGCGGGGCCTTGATGACTGACCCGAACTCACAGTTGTCTCTAAGATTTCTTCGTGCTGTGCTCCCTGCTCCTCCCAGTCCCTCCCGTGTCCCAGTCCCTCCCCCAAACATACCGTGATATCCTCCAGTGAGGAGTCAATGATCTCGTAGTTGTCAGGCAGGCAGTAGAACTTGAGCGTGTGCAGGTTCAGGAAGACGTGGTGGCTGAACTGCACACTGTGGATGTAGGCGTGGGACTTCAGGCCGCGGCCTGCACGGGAAAAGGGCAGTAGTCAGGGCACACACATCTACACGGTTGCATATATACACCTCCACACGCAGATGTGTACAAACAGACACACATACACATGTACACACATACATAGACATGCATACACAGGTATGCACATGGATTTTTGTACATATATGCACGTACACAAGTGCACACACACGCACACACACAATTACACATATGTGGATGCGTACACGCATATATGTATGTGTCTATACATATATAGACACATACATGCAAACGTGTACATATACATTCCCACACAAACAAGGATTTATGCACGTGTACGTGCACACGTATGCACGTGGATTTATATATGTATAGGCATGTGCACGTGCACACTTGCATGTATATATGCACATCCACACATGTACATGTATTTGCATTCACAATCACACATGAGCATATATGGACACACATCTATGTATTCATACATGCACACGTATGTTTGTACATGGAAAGCTAGGCTATGTGAATGAAGTAGCGCTTTGCTGGAGCGCCCTGGGCACATTATACAGCAGCAGTAGCGTTACGCTTCCCAGCTTTGCTGGCTCCTGAACCGTGAGGCCTGGAAGAAGAGTCAAGACCAGAGGAACCCGCTGCAGGCCCCTGCCACCCGGTCCCCCTGCATGGTGCCGCACAGTCGCATTTGGGCACTCACCCTGGAAGTACTTGCCGCAGACAAGGCAGGCATAGACGTTGATGTGCGACAGGGAGATGGAGCAGAGCTTCTCAAAGTCGAAGTCCAGGACGCTCCTGGGAGTGAATGGGGAAGAGGCTGAGTGGGCAGGGCCTGAAGGTGGCCCCAGCGCAGACCTGCCTGAGGCCGGCTCTGGGACCTGCCCCCTTGCCGCACCCCGGCTCCCAGCCCTGCTCTGAAGCCCAGGCGGGTGCGTGCACATAGGGGCATGGCGGTCATGGCGCACATGTGGGCACGCCTCTATGCTGAGGCAGGCACATGTGTGTGGTACACGCGAGCCTACACACATGCACACATGTGCACACGCCCAAGCACCCTGTGCACGTGAGGCCCCACCCCGCACCTGTTGATGGTGTCTAGGTAGGGGCAGTGGCGGCTGCGCCGGTCCTCGGGGTCAAAGCGTCCGTAGCGCACTGCAGGACACGGACACGCGTCAGCGGCGGAACCCAGGCGTCCTACCTCCCCTCCCTCGACCCGGCCCCCCGCGCCCACCGGTGACTTCGGGCTCCGGGTCGGAGTCGGCCTCTGCCTCTGCCTCGCGCTCGCGCTTGATGCGGGGCGGCCCCTC